TGTATATATATTCAATTTTTTTCTATTCTTAATTTTTTCTTTGAGATAATATTCATATAGATTCAGAGAAATATAAAATATTCCGATATATAGGCACATTTAAGTATATAAACTTACCTGTCAAAAATTACAGTCAGTTTTTCATGTTAAATACATAAAATATATATCTAATATAAAATTAAACAAAAAATTAAACTTACTCAAATCAGTAACAGTCCGACTGTCTAAATATTTTTACTATTAACCCTTCTATTTAAAAAATAAAAACAAATGATTTGAAGTAACTAAAAAGCACTTTAGCTCTTTCCAATTGCACTAAAAAATAAAATAAATCTTGCTTGCTAAGTTGCCTAATTCTTAAGAATCTGATAACAAATAAGTAAAAAACCAAGAACAAACAAACATTTATTTACTAAAACTACTCTATTTAAACAAATTAAATTATACAGAGAACAACATTGATTTTCCTTGAAAGCTGAAAAACTTTTTATCTAAAATTTGCTTGTAGACCTTGCTTATGAAACCACTTGAATAAGAAAAGCATCAAAAAAGCCTAGAAGCTTGTATATGCTACATTGAACTTTAAATGTTGATTGGTGTAGATATTTTTAAAAAATTCAAAATGATTTGTTCTTCTATAGCAAATAAATACACCATAAATCTGAAGTTAAAAATGCAATGAATAAGTAAATACAAAGAAAAACATCATATGTGAATTAAAAATCAATGTACCTGATAGAGATAAGCTGCGGTGATACCTGAGTAGTATCACCACATACACGTATTTATCAAAAAAATTACAACTTTGATCATAATATAAATGCAAACATATATGCAAACTTTTAACAACTATAAAAGAACATTTATTAACATCAATTATTTTTAATGTAACAAAGAATGCAGACTACAATGCACGACATTGTTAATAAAAATGAAGTTATGTTAGTCAGTATATATTTATCTAAAGTAGTGAAAAAGAATAAACCATTTAAAAACAAAATTAAAAATTTCTAATGAATATATATTTAGATACCTTAAAATGAAGCATAACACAACAATCTTTTGACAAATTCCAGAACAAATTTTTTAAATTTTTCTATTCCTTATTATTTTATTCCGTATATCGAGAAAATACATATTAAATGCCACATTCAACTAATGTAATTAATACCTTTATTAGATCTCTCTTGATTAACTAAAGAATTTAAATTTTAAATAAACTCTAACTAAATTTTAACAAACAAACAACCAAAATAAATCTTCATATTAATAGTACGTTATTAAGTTGATTAATAGATCAAACAATTTAATCTACTCTAATAATCTACTACCTTATTAATAAACATTTTTTTCTACGACTCAGTGTAACTATAATATAGATATTTTTAAAGTAAAGAAGAATTTAATATTATAATATATATGATTTTAAAAACCTGAAATTTTAAATCTACCTCGAAAAACACAGATATATATTGAAAAGTATTTTTATTTCTTTTTAAAAATTTAAAAATGCTTTATAACTTACTTGTTTCGATATTATCACCAACGTCTAAATAGAAAAACAAACAAACATTCAAGTCGACTCATTTGTAAATCTTATAATATATATGATTTAAAAAACCTGAAATTTTAAATCTACCTCGAAGAAAACAGATATATAATTAAAAGTATTTTTATTTCTTTTTAAAAATTTAAAAATGCTTTATAACTTACTTGTTTCATATTATTACCAACGTCGAAATAGAAAAACAAAGATATATGAGTTATATATAGGATTTTAAAATATATATGATTTTAAAAAACTGAAACTTTAAATCTACCTCAAAGAAAACAGATATATATTGAAAAGTATTTTTATTTCTTTTTAAAAATTTAAAAATGCTTTTTAGCTTACTTGTTTCAATATTGTCATCATCTAAATAGAAAAACAAACAAACATTTAAATCGGCTCATTCTTAAATCTAGTTTAATTTCTTAAATAATAAAAAAAAATTAATCTTTGAGGATTTAAATTCATTTACAAAAATCCGTTTAAGTTCGTTTAAATCATTTTAACATTGTAAAGTTAATTTAAAGTTTTACAAAACTGAAACTTTAATTCTACCTCAAAGAAAACAGATATATATTGAAAAGTATTTTTATTTCTTTTTAAAAATTTAAAAAGGCTTCTAAACTTACTCCCTCCATATATAATATAAATACTATATATAATATATATAGTATATATGATAAATAAACCTCCACAATTTCCTTGGTTTAACAACTCGATTATGATTAATAACAACTCTGTAAACATGAATTTTCTAATAACCTAAATAAATTACAGATAGACAAACATAAACTAACACAATTAAATCCTAAACCAAAATTCATTCATGCAAGACAAATAGTTTTATATTTATTGAAGAGCCAGAAACTTATTTTTCTTCAAATAGCAAAAGTATTAATAATATTAAAGACATATTTTATTTATAACAAAATTTTCAATAAAAATTAAATTAAGATAAATTTATAACAAAATGTTGTCATGGCTTTTATCCCAATAACCACAACTAAGTGAAAGCATGGAACTACCCATAAATATATTTTAACGCTAGACACAATTTAAGAATTAAAGTAATCTATAACATGAAGCTTTAAATTTAAAATTACAATTTAAAAAAGATTACAATAAATTAATTACTTTTAAATTTAAAAAAAAATTTAGATTACCTATAATTTTAAGCTACTAAACATTATCTACTTAATGTCAACTTAGACATTTTGAACTTGTACCATGAAAGTTTGAAGGGAAATCTGTAAGTAAGCACGCGGTAAAGAAAAGTCTAGAAACTACTTAAAAAGTGTATTTTACAGATACAGAACCGTACCGTAACTATAAAACAATACGCGTAACTATGCGCACTATTAATAATATTCATAGGCTATTCATTATAGGCGGATGAATGTTTAAAAATTATTTTTTTTTAACAAAATGTGGCATTAAGAATGCATCTCTAAATACCTCTTTTTATAATTTAAAATTGCATATTTAATATACAATATTTTATTATAATTTGTGCTATTTTATAATATATTTGTTAAAATATAAATATAAAATTTTGCATTGTGTAATTTATTTTATTAATGGTAATGTAAAAATATAGTTTTTAATAATAGATCTGTAAATAATGTGTAAATATAAAATTTTATAATCAAAAAGTTAAGTGCCCCGGTGATAACCTTGCATATTTTTAATTGAAGAAAGGCTCTTATTAGATTAACTTAATAGACCTCTTTTAATTATAGACCTCGGTTAATCTTGATAGATTAACTGAAGATGGTCTTCCATGTATTATTTTGCTTTTCAACTAACGACTAGAGACACCAAAAAAAAAAAAAAGTTCTCAGTATTTCCAATATACCAACTATAGTTCAAAACTTGCTCAATGTGCTAACTCAAATGCTTGTAAGATATCTTTAAGGGGAGGGGGTGAGGGACACCACGACACTTCCCCCCCCCCCTAAACTATCGGGGCGGCCCTGGGGAAAGGGTTAAAGATTTTTCCGAAAAATCAGATGTATCCAAATAATTTCCTGGGTCCGCCCCTGCCAGTTTCTCGTAATTTTTTGGCGCTGTTCAAAACTTTAGTTTTATCTAAAAAGTTCAGTAGTTTGAAGATTATTATTCTCGGTGGTTTGTCTTCTTATGTATTATGGTGACAGTGATTGTAAAAGCTATTTGTATGTTAAAGATACTTATCCTGGTATAACAGTGTGTACACTAATCGACATATATTGCGGTTTATTACAACATATTGCAATATTATTGCGCGTTCAATTTAAATTGCTATATATTGCTCAATTAATTGTCCAATAAAATATCAATAAAATTATACAAAATGTAATGTGTTTGTAAATGTAATTTAGATGCATTTAAATATAAATAATTCTGATGCTTATCTAATTGCCTGTGTCATTTTTTTGTTTTACATAAATTTAATGGGTTTACAAGCAGTAGCAAGATTGTTGTTAAAATATTACAATATAATTGCAATATAATTGCAATATAGTTTTAATATTATTGCAATATTATTGCAACTAATATTAGGTAATCGATTTTATGATTGTAACTGAAGTTACAAGCATGCTTTCATTGGACTTTATACTGCAGTGTAAGTGCGGCCAGGCAGGTTTCTTCGGCGCACGTTAGACATGGCTTGCATGAGCCCAGCAAACCTGTCTGACCACACAAGATACCCGTGCAAAAATAACATAGTTATTTATAAGTAAAGACTCATAAAATTTTATTAATGGTGAATATATGTGCAATGAAACGAAATTTTTTTAATAGAAAGTACGAGAGAAGAACTTTACATTTTACGGCTGAGTCTACTTCTTCTGAAGAGGAAATTACTAATAGTAGTTCTCAGTCCGACTGTAGCAATACAGATGATAATGTTAATGATGGTAGTTTTACCCAAGAGACAGAAGAAATTGTATCTATAGTATCTGAGGAAGAAAATCAAATTCTAGTATCTGAGGAAGAATCGAGTGCTTCCATGTTTCAGTTCTTTAGTTCTAATCCATTTGAATGTTCTTTATTGGATTCAATTGTTAACAAAAAGTTTATGTTTTTAACCTTGTTGTATTTAATGATTAATTCATTTACTGAAATCGCATTTGATAGATTTTTGAAGACTTTGCTGGTATGTTAGATGTAGTTTAAATTGTGCAATGTACTTGTAAATGAATATTGTGAAGCTAATAAAATTATCAATCAACTTAGTCCTTAGCAATAAATGTTGATCTGGCTATTTATCTCTGGCTGCTACCAGAAATGGTGCACATTGCCAATAATTCGTAAAAAAAGTCTGATAAAGTAATGCAGAACGTTCCTAATTATAAAACATTTTACTTGTGAAAATTTTATCCGACTTTTTTTACAAATTATATATTATATAATATTTTACAATTATATATTATATATTTTATATCTATAGTTTTTACAAACTATTTTTTTTACAAATTATTAAATTATAAAAATAATGAAGTATGTCATATTTTTATTTCAACTTGAGGCTGGGGTCTGGCCCAGGCTTAGTTTGGTTGATAAAGCTTGAAAAAATATATTTTTAATTTTTAAATTTTTTTAATAGATTTTTCGCTGTATAAATGACATGTTGTCATCTCATAAAATGATTCGTAGATTTGTTACTAAAAATATATTCTCCCATACTGAACCAACCCATAAATATTATTGTCATAATTGCTGCACAGCTTTAGTTGACACGTGTAAAATAAATACTCATTGTTCATCCCATATCTTTATATTGGATACCATTAGCCAAATGAAACTTGTTTTATTTCTGAATTTGGATGCAATTAAATCATATCAATTGGAAATTATGTCAGGTAAAAGAAAGAGTGATTTTATTTCTAGACCAAATTTTGTTGAAAATATGAAGTCTGCAAATGTTTTACATATTCATTTATTGATGTCAACAGATGGTGGAGAACAATACACAAAAAAAAAGATTACAATGTGGCCATTTCATGCTATTATTTTAGATTTACCATCTTATAAACGATTCCTATTTGAAAATACACTACTTCTTGGTTTATGGTTCTCATTATTAAAACCTAATTGGAATGCTTATTTAAAGGTAATTAAATTATTGATTGTTATTTTTTATTTTAAAAGTAGTTGTCAATGGAATTACCTATAGTAGTAGAATTCACAGTTCCAGCCGTGACAAGAATAAATTGGGCAACGTTACTATATTACTAACTTTTTTTTAGGAGTACATCAATGGAAAACTGTTTGAAACACCCCTTGAAATTAACAATATCCAAGTAGTTATTCATATTGTTGGATTTGTTTTCGATTTGCCTGCAGTGGCTTCAATCATCAATCATAAGCAGTATAATGGTGAATTTGGATGTCACTATTGCGAACATCCTGGTAGAACAATTGAAAGAAAACATGGTTCCGCTAGAATTTATTCACATTCAGATACAAATTATAATCTTAAAACATCTGAAATGTATGCCATATATGCTAGATTAGCCGAAAAATCAAAAGTATCTGTATTTGGAATTGAAGACTCAAACATCTTTAGTGACATTTCATTTATTAAAGTGCCAGATATGATACTTATTGATGTGTTACATTTGTTTTACGAAAATTGCTCAAAAAAGCTTTTAGTTTGTTTATTTTCTGTTACCAATAAACACGAATCATTTTTTATTGGTAGTGCAAAATTAAATGCTATGGAAATCTTACTTGCTGATCAAAAAATGCCACATAACATGCCCAAGCCATTAACTATTAAATCATTCACACATTGGAAAGGCCATGACTTTAAAAACTTTATTTTATACTTAGCAGTTCCATATTTTTTACCATATTTGAATCCTGACTGCATGATGATGATTTATTCTCTAGTAATTGGTATGCGTTTGTGTAGCAGTGAAATATGTTTAGATAAGGTGTTGCTTATTAGTCAGCTGTTAACTTTTATCAAAAATCATTGTCTGAGTTGCTTCCTTTATATATGAATACTATAAATGTTCATTTGCTTGGTCATGTTAGCGATATTATTAAAATGCATGGAAATGTTACAAATTACTCAATGTTTTGTTTTGAAGCTCGGCTAAGTAATTATAAAAAAATGATGAAGGGAACACATGGTCATCCACAACAGATTGTACAAAAATTTCTTAACTTCAAAACAGCTTCTTGTTTTTTGCAAACAACAGATCATCCTAAAAAAGTTGAAGTTTGTAAAGCATTAAATATTGGCATTATTGAACAAGAAGAATTGCAGTTGTTAAATCCGGGCAGATTGTTGAAACATGGTATTGTTTACCATTCAAAAGGTTATGGCAAACATAACAGCTACACTTGTCAATTTGGACATAATAAGTTTGGTATCATATTAGATTTTCCTTTAGTTGACAATGTAATACATGTTCAGTTACAACTATTGAATGTGAAGTGTAAGTTAGTTTCTACTTTTGGTGATATGATTGGAAATTTGGAAATTAACTTTGATGATGACTTTTTTTTTATTGTTAAACAAACAAAAAACATTGTTGTTATTTCAGCTGACACTTTAGTCTGCAAATGTATATTAATTAAAAGTAAATTAGATACAAAAGATGTATTAATTTTGACACCATTGAAAGAACTTTTCGAATATGCTTAGGGTGGCTAAATGTAAATTTTGTAATTAATAAATATGCTTCACATCATGCACGTGTGTTTTTTTATACTAACAAACATTTTTGTTTTTAATATTTTGATAATTTGATACAAAATAATTTGATAATTTGATTGAATTTTTATACAGGTTTATATTTTATTAAATAATGACTTACCCTGATAGAAATAGAACAAAGAAATTAGATTTTGTAGACACTCAAAAGCTTTCTTCTACGTTTGTTCTTTTATGGTACAAGGATTGTGAAAAAGATGAGCGGCATACCTCTCCCATATCACTTTCAAATACACTTTTTAAGCATTATTCATCCGTTGAATGCCTTGAATTTCAAGTGGTAAGTGTGTTAAAAAAAACTGACAGCATTTACCATACATAATATAATTAAAGTCCACCCTTAAATTTTATCCTCCCTCCCTATAATTGACAAAGAAGATAAATTTTATTTTGTTTTTTTACATACCAGCTATTAGCTGAATATATCAGCTATCAGCTATTAGCTGAATATATAGAAGCCCACCTTAAAATAGAAGCAAGTATTTTAGATGCCCACGAATAAGATAAAAATGTTTTTTTTGTTTTTTTACATAGCTGAATATATAGAAGCCCACCCTAAAATGGAAGAAGTATTTTAAATGCCCACTTTTTGGGGATGTTGAAAAATGGAAGCCCTTGCTTTTATTTTACTATTTATGGTGTGTTGATAATTAAATTTAATGTTTTTTACTTATTAGAAAAATGTAGTGCATGTTTCTATTGCAAATATACAACACGCAGCTGTCATCATCTATAAGGGGTCTATTACTCAATGCTGTAAATTTGAAACATTGCTAGATAACTTCATGGACGATTTTGGTGATGAAAATCCTAGCACTGATGAAGTAAGCAAGTTTGCCCTCAATTATATTGAAGGCAATACTGACGGAAAAAGAAAACATTCTGAGGGAGACCAATCCTCAGGTAACTTATGTAATATAAATATGTGACAATGACAAGACAATATTATAGTAATTTTTATTTAAAACTTACTCTTCTGTGTAGTGGTGAACTGGACCATGGTGCCGGAGTGCAATAGCACCCTGGGTCAAAAAAAAGGAGGTTACCTTTGTTACCAGACAGAGTTTAGTTATTATGTCTGCTACACAAGTAATAATTAATTAAACATTTTTGCTAAATAATAAAAAATGACACAAAATTCACACAAAAATTATCAACACAAGTTAAAGTTGCACTATCCGATGGTAGGTGGGGATCTATTGGATCCACTAGTAGCCTAGCCCCTAGTACACCCATGGTTTTATGTTTGTAACCACAACTTGTTCATGTTTTTTTTTTTATAAATTCAGAGAATATTGCACCGGTCTCAGAACATACAGGCCTAAACGGACCTAAATATAAATCGACTCCTAAATCAAAGGTGCTGAAAAAAAAACATGTAAATGAAGTGTTGAATGAAAATTCAGGTAATTTTAATAATATTACAATTTTGTTTATGTAATTTCTTGAACATATTTTTATTGTCTTTTTCATTTATAGAATCAGAGTCCTTTGCATCATTTTATAACAGTCAAAAAGGATCTAAAAAAAGTGAAGCACAGATTATGGCTTTGGAAAAGCGGAAGCTTGACATGCTACTTGATAATGTTGATGCTCCCAGAGCATTGATGCTTCCAATAATTAGTGATGTTCCTAAAACAAAACACTGTGGTTCACCGAAGTTAAGCAAACTATCTTGTTTAGAAGGTTAGTTACAGTCCTATAGTATGAATACTGTGTTTGCCTAAGTTCTACCATATTGTACTTGTACATAGAAGTGCTATATATTTTTTTTAACATTAGCAATTTTGATTGAACAAAACAAAACTTCTTTTTGAACAAAAGAAGACCAACAAACTGTTGTCTGAAATTTTGCGCCCAATAGAAAAAGAATCTGTAAATAATGATAATGTAAGTCAATTTAATTTTTGTAATTTAATTAAAAAAAGCTCATCCAATGAGAGCACAACTTGCTAGTATTTACCAAATTGAATAAAAGAAATATTGATTGCTAAAGGAAAGGTACATTTATATACAAAAGGTTGCATAATTTGACCATCTATTGAAAAATATTTACTAAATCCGAACTTATCTGTATTGTGCATTTTAGGCCGTGTATACTGGTTTTGATGCCGAATTTAAATTGCACGACATTCAAAAACGAGAACCATGTATCTTTGCAAGAAAATTTATTTTGTTGCGATTCGGAAAGGAGTTTACTTGCACGCGTATTTGTGAACCAAACGGACCTACTGCACGCATTCATATGGAGAATGAAGAAATTCAGGAAGTTAAAGGTGCACTTGACAAAGTGTTTACGTCTTACAACTGGCGTGTTGTTCGGGCGAGTATTAATCAATTTTTCCGAGACAATAAAAGTAGTACAAAAGTTTGAAGACTAAACAAATGAGTGACATTTTTCTTGTGGTGTGGGGTTGTCAGCGTTTTTCGCTTATCCCCCCCCTCCCCCATTCTATCTGTAATGTGTTTTGTATGTTTTGTGTGTTAAATAAATACACCAACTTATTTATTCTGAATTTAGTTGTTTATTTAATTTTTAAAATTCGAATTTAGTATGAATTGAAAGTGTACATAAATGTTTCTTTCAAATGTCAACTTTCAGCGCTGCTGCTAGACGATAATAAAATTGCAAAGAGTTTTATTGTCAATATTGCGAGATTATTGCCCAATATAATTGCAATTTTATTGCGAGATTATTGCCCAAGATATTGGCCAATATTATTACAATTTTATTGTCAATATTGCAATATTATTGCCCAATATGTTGCCAATCCATTGCAAGTTATTGGCAATATTGGCCAATAACGTTGCAATATTATTGCAATTAAAAAATATATATATTGGTTAGTGTAAGTTGGAGTGTGTTGGACATGTACAGAAACGTGTTGGTAGCAGATTGCGAATTTGAAAAAAAATGTAAAAGGACTTGGAGGCAAAGGCAAATTAACAAATGCTATAATTGATCGCCTACAAAACTACTATGGGATTGCTGTTAGGCAAAATGCCAATGATTAAGAAGGTATGAAAAAGGCCATACTTGCAACATTGTTCATGTTGCATCATCAGCTGAAAATAATTGGCATGCTCATTGCCCAGATGGTATCAATAGTTGGTGTCGTTATAAACAGGATAAAGCTAATTTAACGTTTACATACAAGCCAGGTGCTGGTCTTCCACTCTCAGTTGTCAGTCATTTAAAGCCTAAATATATAGATTTATCTCAAGAAAAACTCTTAAAAAAATGCCTTCATGGTAAAACCCAAAACCAGAATGAAAGTCTTAATGGAATGATACGGCAGCGCATACCTAAAACAAAGTATGTTTCATTAACGCAGTTGGAGTTAGGAGTTTATGATGCTGTTTCAAACTTTAATATTGGAAGAAAAGCAAGCATACTTTTGTTTGAAAAGTTGAATATGATTCTTGGTATTTATACTCTCCAAGGCTGTTCAACCATGAACAAAAAGCGCTTAATTTTTGCAGAATATCAAAATCGGATTACATCTAAAAAGCGACGAAAAGTTATTCGTGGATGCAAAAAAAAAAGGATGATGCAGAGAATGATCAAGAAGGTTGTCTTTATGACCCTGGTTCATGTTCATATAAATAAAAGTTTTTCAATTGAGTATCCGAGAGAAAATATTATGAAAATTTATGAATATACCAAACTGAAAAAAAAAAAATTATCTTAAAAATCGTAAAAATAGACTTTTGTGAATAAATCCACGGGGACAATAACTACAAAAACCAAATGTTATTTAAAATAAGACCCATATAGACAGTTTTCATTACTATCTATTTAAACTATTCATTATTGAGCGGTTCGGCTAGAAAAAGAAATTCGTCATCTTGCCCCCCTCGCTATGTTGCCCCGTTTTCCCCTATACAAACGTGTTTTTCTCAAAATTTATATTTTTGACCTCCCGGCCATCCTATCTCATTAACCGTAGGTTAAATTTGTATGAAATTTTCACCACATGTTTATTGCATCTGGTTGTACAATTGGAACTAAAAGTTTTTTAATGCAATCAAGAGTTTTTATTTATAGAAGTTTCAAGTTACAAAAAAATCATATTTTTAGTACGCCATTTTGAAAATTTCATTTTAGATCAAGTACTAGGTTTTTTAAAATAATTTTAGCTCAGTTTGTAGATCAATATGTTATTAACCATATGCCAAAAATTCATTACCTACATGCTTTCAGTTACTGAGATTGGCCGGGGTAACTTAAATATTTTTAAATGTCTGTCATTTTGCTTGGTAGCCATGACAATTTATAAA